GTGTGTGTGTGTGTGTGTGTGTGTGTGGTTGTGCGTGTGCGTGTGCGTGTGCGTGTGTTCATCATGTGGCTGACACGTTGACAGGTTAGATAGGCCCCTCCCCACCTCTGTTCTCCCAGCTGCCCCCTGATGAGGCTGAGTGACTCTCAATGGGCTTTCAGGACACGTCGATTGTGGATGTGCTGGGAAAGCGAAGCAGCGCCAGGGAAAGCTGATAAGACTTTCAAGAAGAAATGGGCAAAACACAACCAAAGTATAATTTGTCGATGTCTTGAGGCAATATCAGTAGTGTCGTGATAAAAGCTATTCAGTGAATGTTAGTCATCAAAAATACGGAATGATCAATTAACCATTCGCGTAATTGACAGTAAACTCTGGTTCCGGGTTTACAGTTGCGCTATTTTGTGGATTTCTTTTTTTTTTTCTTTCAGTTTGTAACTCTATTTTGCCTTGCATTTATTTGGGGTGTAATTGCACTTTCGACCACTAGATGGTGGTACACTATTTAGTGTAGATAAACAAAAACACAAAGTACTGTATTTCAGCTCAGCCCATTGACTTTGATCATGAATTAAGACTGCCGCTAGTGAGAAGTGAATCCGTCGGCAGCCATTTTACGTTGCCACTCACTAAGCGTGCTTAACTTGAATGCTTTGATTTCACCGCTGCGTTTCCGTTATTTTCTGTCTCTGCGATGAAAATGCCACAGTGTGTGGGATACGGTTGTGCCAGTTTGGAGGCATTCAGCCGCTTCGGCACCGGGTGCTCGGTGCTAAAGATGTGAAATAAGGGCTCGGATCTGCGCAGATTTTCCATCTTTATTCTCCGACGGAGTCCCTTCAGGTGGATCGCAGAGACGGGACCGAGCGGAATTCGTGTGAATGCGTCGGCGTGTTTAATCTTCGTGAGCGTCATCATTAAAGTCTTGGCTAATGACTGCGCGAGCGTCCAATGAAGACAAATGGCTGAGTGCTGATTGACTCTTGATGTATGGTCGAACTTAATGAGGCGATGTGTCAAATGGTAGAATCGTTGAGCTTGCTTATGTCATCAGTCATTTATGGGGGGAATTGACAGTAATGTTGTTTTCAATGTGGGCAAAAAAAAAAAAAAAATTGGCTGAATCACCTTTAGATGAGGAGAAAAATTACCCCCACCCATTCCTCAAAATTAACAGGAAGTCAGCCATTTTGGGTGAAGGCCCCCCCCCAAAAAATACAGTGTGTGTGTATGTATATATATATATATATATACTGTCTTTTTTTCTTTTAAATC